GAGGCCCGCCATCTCGGCGACTCGCGGCGACCCGCGCGCGCGTTACAGAAGCGGAACGCCGCCGGCGTTCCTCTCTCCCGAGGAGGGATCGACTTCCCGACGTCAACGTTGTCCCGCGCCGCACCGAGTGCACTTTGCTCCATGTCCATTCTTACGCTACGGTTTTAAACTTGAGCTCGTCTTAGGGCCAGTTCGACAAACATCGGCCAACTACTATCCCAGTGAGAAATGATTCGTCGATCGACGAATCATTTCTCACTGGGTAGCCGCGGGTTAATTCTCCTTCTCTGTCTCTTCTTAAATAATAAGATAGAAAACGACACGGAGTTGACTCAACTCTGGTTAACGGTCAACCGACGTTCGCGAGACTGGCCCTTAAATACAAAGACAATAGGCGACCGTTTGATAGATGTACCAAAGTGCACCAGGGTGTACACTCGGCGTCACGAATGCCTTTACACCTCAAGAACGACGCCAAAGATATCCACGGGGAAAATTTATCTTAGTAAAACGAATCCTTCTGTCGGAATATACGGAACTTAACGGCTATCCTCGGGTGTAAAAGCATTTATGACGCCGAGTGTACACTGGTACGTGTACCAAACAATCGCCTTATGCGTGGCCAGAAAATTATCCGTGCGGATACCGTATTATTTTACTTGACAAGTATTTCGAGAGGTATTCAAGACGATCCTCGAGTATAACAGTTGGCTGCAAAGAGTGCGCAGGAAATCGAATTCGCTATTAAAAATTAACGAGCGTGCTTGGCGCTTCGACACCTCGCGTGGAAACTCGCGCGACTTGTCGATGCTAAATAATCCTACAGACGATCTTCAAAAGAAAACTGGAAAAGTAACGACGCGCATGTGTGAACATTAAAGTAGAAATTAATGAGATACGTTTAGCGACCGCTAATATTGTCGCTTGTCCCGTTTAACGTCCCAGTGTGAAATGATTCGTCGAAACGACGTCGATTCGACATCAATCGACGAGTCATTTCTCGCTGGGCTCTCTCTCTCTCTCTAACGTCGCGGTGTTGTTAAAATGGCGGAATGTACGGACAAGTTGGTCACACTCGTTACCTAATCGCGGTCGACAATTGCTTTTGTTATCGGAGAATGTCACTTCCGAGAGCTAGGGAGGAATTTTCTCGGTGAGGAATACGCTCGAGTTTGGAAGCAGCCGTGACCCCGTTTCGTCGACATTCCCGAGCCCGACTTTTCGAAACCCCGCGGACCGCCCGAAGGGAGGGGGAAGGGAAGGGCCCGGACGTGCCCCGAGCCGGCCCTGATCGCGCAACGAGCTCCGAGAAGACCGATTGTGTCACGTTCCCCCGACTACGCGAGAAACGGCACCTCGCTCTGAGTCAGCCGACCGAAAAACTCGCGTCGCTCTCCGCCGTCAAGGTTGCTTTTGAAATTTCGAACCGCCGAAACCACGCGCGCGCGCGGGCGCGGGCTTTTATCACTCTCGCGGATAACGTCACGTCGGATTCCCGCGCGACTTATCGCACGGGGAAACGCGCTCTCGAAAGCGCACACACGCGCGTAACCGCGAGAATTATCGTCGACAATCCAACGCCATGCCCGATATATCGTTGCGCCGTCGCGATAAACCCCCCTTTTTCTCTTTCTCTCTCTCTCTATCTCGGTCTCTCTCCTCTTTCTTTCGGAGATATCGCGAGTGTTTCAGCGAAACCTTTCTCCGGAACGTCGCGCCGTGTATCTACTCTCTCGCCGCGTTTGATTACTTGCACTCGAGATCCGAAAACCGCGACGGGATGCGCCCGTGCATTCGTAGCTGAATGCGCCAAAAGATCATTGTGCGCAAAAGTTACTGAAATAGACGAAGCGTGGAAACGTACAGGGTGATTCACGGAGTTTCACCTTCACTTAGGGAGGGCGTTCCGGTATCCGGGCTTCTCTAACGTCTCGGCGATGATTGTCGCTATCGCTGCTTGCCGTTGCGCAGCTTTTACACCGTGTAATACACCCGACAATCATCGCCGAGACGTCGGAGAATCCTTCGGTACTGATTAGATACTCATTTAGAGAAGCAGAAAAAAATAACGTACAGTGATGGACAAAAGGGTTGCGACACTTTTTTAGGAACGCGCATTTAGATTCAAGTTTACGTTCCAAAACATTTTTTTTCCGAGGCAAATTTTACTCGAGAAGTAGATCGGAAACGCTCAAAATGGTTTCGGAATAGCCATCGAGTAAAATATTTGTCGGAGAAGATTTTGGAACGTAACCCTGAATCTAAATGCGCGTTCCTAAACTCATTAAAAAGTGTCGCAAGCATTATATCCATCACTATACAAATGAGACCCGATTTACAATTAAAGTTGAATTATTTTGTAAATTGAAAAGTTCTTTTAGAAGGGAAGTGAAAGGAGGATTCTTCTACAATCTCCCCCGCCACAATAGGGAAAAAGTACAGACGCTTTTGAAATAGTTAATCTTTTAACTCTGTCGGAAATAATTCTACAAAATTTTACAAAAAAAATTAAATATAACTGCCAGAATCTAAGAAATTCTACGTAAATTTAAAAAATGTTATAAAAATCAATATGAAAATGTTAGAATTGGAACAATTTTGTTAATTTTTATAATATTCTACAAGTAAGTAAATGTTTTAATTCTTTAAGATTTTGTTCCTCAAATTTTTAAAACTAGTAAAGTTTTGTACTAATTGTACTAATTTTTACAAAATTGTTCATTTTCATGAAATACTACTTGCAATAATTTCTTGATTTGAGAACATT